AAAAATCACGCTCTCTACATGCCAAAGACTAAAACTAGACTCATGTTGATCACCATGCACTAAAGTCAAAATGGATCAAAGATCTAACTATTAAAACAGAAACACTAAATCTACTAGGAGAGAAAGTAGGTACAAATCTTGAAGACATAGGTATAGGCAGAGACTTCACAAACAAAACTCAAACTGTATGGGAAATACTTTAAACAATCAACAACTAGGACTTCATCTTATTAAAAAGCATTTGCATAGTAAAAGAAATCAATAGAGTAAAAAGAAAACCCACAGACTGTGAAAAAATTTTAGTCAACTGTCCCTCAGACAAAGGACTTCTATCTAGAACATATAAAGAATTGAAAAAAATCAGACTCCCAAAATTCAAAGGCCCAATCCAAAAATGGGCATCTGAGATGAATACATACTTCTCACATGAAGAAATACAAACAGCAATAAAAATATGAAAAAATGTTCAACATCATTGATCATTCAAGAGATGCAAATTAAAACAACACTGAGATTCCATCTCTCCCCAAAAAGAATGGCTATCATCAAGAAATCAACCAATAACAAATGCTAGAGGGGCTGTGGAGAAAAAGGAATCCTCCTGCACTGTTGGTGGGAGTGAAGACTGGTGCAACCACTGTGGAAATAAGTGTGGTGATTCCTCAAAATCTAGGATTAAGGGTCCCAGTTGACCTAGCTATTTCCCTTCTGCGTATCTTCCCAAAATAGTTAAAAAATCATGCCACAGCAATATATGTATACCCATGTTTATAGCAGCACAATTTGTGATAGCTAAATCCTAGAAACAACCCAAATGCTCAGCTGAGGAATGGATAAAAAAGACGTGGTCTTTTTATGCAATGCAGTGCTACTCAGCTATAACGAAGGATAAACTGGAGACTTTTATAGGTAAATGGATGCAATCTGAGACCATACTCATTAGTGAAATAAATCAGACTCACACGTGTAAAGATTGTATTGTCTCCTTGGTGTGAGAAATTGAAAGAGTAAATAAGGCCTAGAATGTACAACAGATATTATGCAATGGGAATAAATAGTTAAAAAGGAAAAAGGAACTAGTTGGGGAAAAGGGAAAGGAAGAAAAAGAAAAGAGAGAGAGAAAAGCAAATTAGTTATACTATTAGTGTCTCTTAGTTCATCGAAAAAGGTTTGTGCTTACATCGATTGAAGGAATTTTTATGCCCATATCTTGTATTCTGAGTAATTACTTTAAAAATAATAATATGCAGTGTATTAACTATTGTTATTCTCCTATCATCTTGTTATGAAATTTTGTTTCACCTTTTTCCCATAAAATAAAATTTTAAAAACCTTCATCCTGTTCAAGAAAAAAGTTATTCAGTGGCACTTGTTAAAAAGGGTAAGAAAAAGAAACCATTAGACTTTATTCAAGTGTGTGTGTGTGTGTGTGTGTGTGTGTGTGTGTACTGAGGGACTTTGCAATAGGCTTAGGCACTACTGTAGTGGCATTTGCAACAGAGTAGAGAAACGGTGCTTAATCTGAATACAGCTGGACATGTGGAGATTCATAGACAAGCAGCAAGGTTGAGCTCAGGTGTAGAAAATTAGGAAAAGGAAGCTTCAAGGGTAGGGGAAGATCCCAGCTAAAGGACCCAGCCAGGTTACTTACTGAGAGCTGATCACTACTTGGAACGATGGAGAATGGGGAAACAAAACAAACACTAGGGCAATCATGCGCCAAGGACCGAGATTTGGGAAAATGGACTCAGCAGTTGCTCGGGTGATTGGCAGTGCAGGGACAAACAGCAGCCCAAAAGTTGAGTTATCTTGAAGTAAAGCTCAGCGGAGCTAAGCAGAGTTTGATCACTCCAGAAAGAATCTCTGTCCATACTCGGCAAAATTGTCTACCAAAAATAGACACAAAATAAAGATATTGTCCAACCAACACAAATAAAAACTAAGGTAACTACCTATGGTTTCTCACTAAAGACACGATTCTCAAGGCTGAACTTTAGGAAACAGAAAAACTCATAAAAAGGCACCAGATGCAAAATGGAATAACAAGGGAAAAAGGGAAGAAGTGACCCACACAATAATAATATTCACGGGGCTGTTTGTAGGATTAAAAACACAATTTGTTGGGGCAAAAATAAATAAGATAGAGATAAAACAGTAACATAGACCAGAAAAATGTATTATTAATGTTAGAGCATCTTAAGATCCTTGCATTGTTCAAAAGGAGAATAATCACATTGATTAATTTATATATTAAATTAAATATGCATTAAAATTTCTTTTTTTGAGGTAGGGTCTTGCTATGTAGGTCAGGTTGGCCTTGAATCCACTATTTAGCCTAGGCTGGCTTTGAATTCACAGTAATCCTCCTGCCTCAGCTTCCCAAGCACTGGGATTACAGACACACACCACACCCAACAGCATTAAAATTTCTAGAGTAACTACAAAGGAGTATAAATAATTTATGGCTTCCAACTTAATCAAGTGAAAAAAAAAACCGTTAGCAAGTGGAGAGAAGAAAATCTCAACTCAAAAAATATATCAAGAGGAAAACCTACCTACAAAAATGTAAGGGAAGTTATAAAATTGTTGTTAGAGTGAGTCTTAACTTTAAGAATAAATGTATCCCTAAAAGTATCAAGACTACTGGGGAATTAAAGTACATAATTTAGAGAAAAACTTTAAGGATGGGGTAAATAAATGGAGAGATATACACTGTTCATGAACATGGGAACTTGATTTTATAGTTACCCATTTTCTTCTTCAAACAGATCAGTAGCTGCAACTCAGAGAATTAAGAATTAACAAACATCTCAATATGCATGTACATGTGCCTAACTTGATAGGCTGATTCTAAATGTATACAGAATAGGAAACAGCTTTTATAGAAAGAATCACAGACACTCGAAAAGAAAAGCAAGACAAGATGTCCACCAACAAGATTCTAAGACGTGTTCATAAAATTACAGTAAGTGAAGTGTTACATTGACCCAAGAACAATCAATTGGATAGGTAGAATACAATAGAGAATTCTAAACCAGACAATGCAAACGCTGGTTCTTGATATGTTAGAAGTGATATTGAAAATCAATGAGAAAACAAGGGACTATTCAACAAAAATGTTAAAATTCTGCTTTCATATTGAAAAGTGAAATACATTTCAAACCATACAACAGAAAAAATAATTCTGTATAATTTAAGAATTCATATGTAAGCACTAAAGCTGTGGAGCTGTAGAGAAAGGAAGAGTCTCTCTCTCTCTGGAGGCTTTGGTAGTTGAGTATATGAAATATACAGTAGGCAAATTAAAAAAAGAAAATTTCTTACATGCATGGGAACATCAGATGGAAGAACAGTGACCTCCCCAAACTCAGTGAGCTGAGGCAGGGTGTGGAACTTCTCCATGGGGGCGCTGTAGGAACCTAGGGGAGAGTGACTGAGGCTGGGAGAACAGCAGAGGGCCCTCGGGAGCGTGAGTGGTGGCCTGCGGTAGTGTGTCTGGCATGGTGTCAAGCCCCAGAGTCCCCTCCAGGGACAGGAGCTGCACCTTCATTGGCTGATGAGGCCCTGGTGACAGCTGCCTTCCTTATAGAGGCTCTGTCTTTAGGCAGAAAAAGGAAGTTCAGAAAAGGGCTCTCAGTCCTTCTGCTCCCAAGAGACCTCATGGGATGTAATCAGCACCCCAAAGTGTCATATCATCACTTTGTACTTTCTGAACTCCTTCAAAATTGTTAGAAGTGGAGGTGTAGCTCAGTGGTGGAGCTCTTATTTAGCATGCATGAAGCCCTGGATTCTATCCCAGCACTGAAAATACATACATACTTAATACATACATACAAACATAATACATACACAAATGTAAGGAGCAAACAAGTGTCCTGAGGGGAAGAGTTCTTAGTCAAGATAGCAAATGCACAGATCATTTAGTAAAATCTTGGTAAATTTGACTACAGTGAAAAGAAGAGTCTTATCAAGGGGCCAAAGGTAAACTGGGATAAAGGTAAACCAGAAACCAGGGAAGGATGTCTGCAGCATAAATAATCAACAAAAGATCGTTATGCTGGGTTGGGAATGTACCTCAGTGGTAGAGCACCTGTCTAGCATGTGCAAGGCTGTGGTTCAATCTGCAACACAAAACAAAGAAAAAAATAGATTACTAACCCAAATAGATATGGAACACTAAAAATAAATTATGAAAAGTCAAATATCTCCACAGAAAAATGAGCAAAAGTTGCAGATTTCATTGTAGACAGAAAGCCAGCTAGCCAATAGACACACAAAACCTGCTCAGTTGAATTAGTAATCACAAATCTATACTAATAATCACAGTGTGATACCTTTAAATTGATCAAAGTGCCCCAAAGCAAAAACATTTCTGTCAAGCTCTCAATAGCAACTGTTATGAACTGGGATAAAGAGGATCCAGCCACTGCCAGTAGGACTATAATTTGTTAGACCTACTTGTAAAGCAATTTAAAATTATCCATAAAGTTAAGAATGAGGGTTTCCTATATTGTAGGAATTCTGCTTCTAGGAGAAATGCTTACATGCACAAATCAAATGCATGAGAATGTTTATAAGTGTAACAATTATTACTAGGGAGGAAAAGAGAACAACATAAATGTTCATCTTCAGGAAAATGGATAAAGAAATTATGGTCTATGCATTTAAGGAAATATTATATTCATGTGCAATATTTAGCAAATGATCACTAATTCATGGTCATGGATAATTCTTACAAACACTGTATTATGATAAAAAATGTGATAGAAGAATGCCTAAGATCCGATTCCATTTATGTAAAGATTCAAAAACATGCAAAACTAAAGATGCCTTAAGTGTTACTGTATAATTTGTACTTTGTAATATCTGGTAGTTGCATGGTTTGTTAAGCTTCAGGCTAACAGAAAATTAAGCATTAACTATGGTGGCAAGTTAAAAAAAAAAGCTGCAAAATCAAACCTTTGAAATTCACCTGCAAAATTTTGGTAAACAGCTATGCAGGAAATTAGAGAGATTATTTTAGGCTACCTCTAAAATGCCACTGGCGAATCATTTTTTATCTTAAATTCCTGTGTTTCTTCAAGGCATCTGAACATGAAAAACTGTCACCTACCCACATGGGCTGGCAGTAACATTTGTCAAAGTGTCACTTGCTGACCGCATGCCTAACTATTCTGTCAGGACAGTGACACCACGGGAGGCTCAGGGACATGTCCACAGCGCAGATCTCAGCTCTGGTGCTCGGTGTCGGAGGGTTCGGCGCTCTTGTTGCTGCCACCACGTCCAACGAGTGGAAAGTAACCACGCGGGCATCGTCGGTGATAACTGCCACTTGGGTTTACCAGGGGCTCTGGATGAACTGCGCAGGTAACGCGTTGGGCACTTTCCATTGCCGACCGCATTTTACTATCTTCCAAGTAGCAGGTAAATATGATAGCTTTGTTTGGGGTGACAGTACAATGCTACCTTTCCCCCCTAGCTGTGCTAAAGAAGCTGTTTAAAGTCTTTTCTTTTCAGAATTGATAAGATCAGACTCTGTGTCTGCCTCAAGTGCCAAAATACCCCGGCGATGGGTGGATGGGGCGTGTGAGGTTGCCTGAAAGAATTGTCATTTATTTTATCTGGAAAAGGAAAGTTAAGAGTAATCTGATGGACCTCTTAGAAATAAAGAATGTGAATGAATAAACAACTTGGAGGAAAGGGTCAAAACGACTGGCTTGTGTCAGAAGCTAATTCCAATTTGCTCTGGGTCACAGAGGAATCTTGGGGGATCACCTGTCTTATGTTGGGAAATATTTCATTGACTTAATCTCTCTCTCTTCTTCCTTTTATCCTTCCTTCTTCCCTTTTAGTAAATCATAATTTATCCTAAATTCCTGGAGTCCCTCAGGCCATCCAGTGTATAGATATAGTTGTACAGTTATAGATATTTTTCCCGGGGAGAAGTAGAAGCCTATGATAAGAAAGTTATTCTTGAGTAAGGGACAGAATTCTGTTTTTAGAGGGACTTCTGTCTTTTAAAAAAACCATATTTAGTGATGAAATAACAAAGCAAGAAATCTTTTTAAGTAGTTAAGTGAAAGAAAGTGCTGTACACTTTCTCTTTTGATTATTTTGCTTTGGTTTTTGTTTGTCTAACACAGGGGCATGCTTTCAACTTCATGTATAGTTAAAACTCTACTGTAAGTATATGTGTTGCAAAGAGAAAGCATCTAAAAAAAGGCCTTTTCTTATCTCAGGATACTTCCAGAGAAACAATCGTTATTTGCCTTTCTATGACATTCTAAGAAGCACCATGTATCTCCCCTTTCTGAAAATTTGATGTGCTTACAAGTCTGCCCCCAGCTGTGGGCTTACTATGTTAAAAATTACTCCCGGTTTTTTGGTAGAATATAGATTTTTTTCCACAATCAAAAGATTAGACTGTACCTTGGCCTCTGTAAAGAAAATGGCATAAAAATTTAACTAAAAAGTTACTAAAGCATAATCTTCTCTGGGGCATTGTGTCAAGTGTGCACGTCATTAGTCTTCCGTGAGCGCCAAGGGATAAAGAGAGACTACTTAGGCAAAGCCAGGAGATTTCTAATGACAGGCGATGGAAATGCTCCAGGTGGCTGCCCTAAGCTGCCTTGAGTAATGTGTTCTTCCCTGAATAGCTTGGTCTTTCTTCAACCTCAGCATCCCAACTCACTCCCATTCAAAACTGCTTCTACCATAGAAATTTTCCCCAGCATGGCAGATTTTCAAAGAAAGAGTGCGACAGTGTCATCATTCTGCAAACCTCTTAGGACTGTTCTTTCCCCACCACCCACTCTTGGCCCAATCTGACCTTGGTCAGCAAGTAGAAGACCTGACCCATGAAGAAGTCTGCTGCTCATTCTCAACTGAGTTCATCTCTCTAAAACCATGACCCAATACATTTCTCCTCCTTTAAGCTGCAGCTACTAGGTACTGTGTCTTGGGGATGAAGAAAGTGACCAAGACGGGAGGCGACAGGCAGTGTGTGGTGAGGGTGAAATGGTATTTCTGGAAGAAGGTAGAAGTGTGCTGAATTGAGGAGTGAGTTACCAAGAAGGTCACTGGGTTAGAAGTCAGCAAATAGAGCTTCAGATTCTATTTGTTAACTGGCTGTGAGGCTTTGACTTCAACCATGAAATTTTCATCCACAAATTCCTCTTCCATAAATTAAGAAAACTGGACTCCAAGAGTCCCTTAAAACTTCTCTCAGTGTAAAGTTCAATTCAAGAGCTTCACAAGGCTCCACCACAGGGTCACAAGTAAAAGTTCACCAAAGAAGCACAGCTGTAAAAGTCTCCTCTATTCTAATTGCTCAGGGGGTTACAGTGGACCCTTCTCTCCCACTTCTCTTATCTATTATTTGACTGTCTGTTCTGTGTACCTGTTTAGAATCTTACAGCTTCTGGATTCAGATAGCTTTCAAAGACCTCAAATGACCACAATATCCAGGTGAAGGTGCCAGGATTTCAGTGGAGGTCACAGGCAAGTGTAGTGGCTGCCTACAGGAGTATGAGCCTCACCAACCGCCCCCCCGCCCGCCTTATCAGCCATGCTGTAAGAATAGGGCTAATAGAATGTCATTTGCTAGAGAAAGGAAGTTGTCTATGGGTTTTTACTCACTTATAGGGAGAAGCTGTAGCCATCTAATGTCGTAGCTTTAGGTTTCTTGCTGGATGAAATATGAGGTGCACTGGAAGTCCTTCTTAGTGTCATTAGTTGCATTGTGTGGCTGCCTTGATGTTCGAATCAATTAAAAACTTTTACTTTTCATGGTCATTTGATTTTGGGAAAAGGGGAGGAGCCTCCTGGTCCTAAGTCTGGTGAATAAGTGGATAAGGACACATGGCAAGTCTGCCTTTCCATTGGACAGCACATACAGCAGCAGTCACTACGTTTTTGATCACACCTCTTAAAGACACTCATGAAAGATGGCTTACAGAACTGCTCCAGAAAATTACAAGAAAGATGGCATAAGGGTCCAAAATGAAAAGTATTTAATCATTACCACTATTTGTGGATGACATAATGCTCTACATAGAAGACCCCAAAAACTCTACCCAAAGACTTCTAGATTTAATAACCAAATTCAGTAGCACAGCTGAATACATAGTCAGCACTCAAAAATCACTAGCATTCCTATATACAAACAAAAAACTCACTGAGAAATTAGGGAAACAACACCTTTCACAATAGAATCCCCAAAAATGAAATACCTAGGACTCAGTCTAACAAAGGAAGTACAAGATCTTTACATTGAAAACTATATTACTCTGAACAAGGAGATCAAACAGGATATCAGAAAATGGAAAGATATCCCTTGTTCTTGGGTAGGAAGAACCAATATGGTGAAAACAGCCATACTTCCAATCTTCCAATTAAATGCAACCCCGATCAAAATACCAATAGGATATCTCATGGAATTAGAGAAAACAATCATAAAATTCATTAGGAACCATAAAAGACTTAGAAAAGCAACAAAGGCAAGGAAGAGGCTATCATAATCTTTGATTTGAAATTATACTACAGAGCTAAAATTTAAAAAAAACCAATAAGGTACTCACAAAAAACAAAACAAATAAGCAAACAGGAAACCAGACCAGAGAAACAATAGAACAGATTAAAAGATGTAGAAACAATTCCAAACACGTTCAACTACCTTATCTTTGACAAAGGAGCCAAACACCTTCACTAGAAGAAAGATAGCTCTTTCTTCT